AAAAATAAATTATTTCGTTATTAAACCTAAATTAAATTATAATAAAAAAGATTAAAAGAATTATATAAAAAATGAGAACTTTTAAATAGTTGATTTAATATTAACATTGATATATTTTTTTCAAAATTTTATGATATCTTCAAATTTATATTTTATTCAAAAATAAAATCATTATTGCTTTCTTAAAAACACATAAAATCGTATTATAACATCGACATAGACAAATAATAAAATAGAACATTAAAATCGAGATGTGTCTTGCTGCATTGCACGAGTACTCTTCTAGTTTTTTTAATAAAGACGGAAAGGACAAGAATGCCCCTCACTTAATGGATGCTCTTTAACGGTCATTAGTGGCATGGATCAAATTGTTATAAAGATGCAGCAAACTCTATGAGATATTTTGGAATAAAAAGAATTGAAAACCAAATCCAAAACAAATTTAAGACCATGGGGATCTAATCTGTAATTTACTCTAAAAAGAATTAGGTCTTATTTGTTTTTCATAAAGAAGTTCTTATCATCCTTTTATGTCTGACTCGTTAAGAGACAAGGTCATTCAGACTGTTTGTTTTTTCCAAGACACTTATGTCTTATTTTTCTCTTATTTGATAAGAGGTAAATCAACATTTTATTTGTCTCTTATTGTTCTTCAAATCCTCAAGAACGACGTTTCTCAATCGATCCTTACCAAATCAATCCTCGTCTCTCTCAATTAATGTATTTTAATAGGATGTAAGTGTGTTAAACACCGTTAATGACATATTTTCGTTTAAATGAATGTTAATTATATAATTTAGATGTAAATTTCATAATGATGATGAATAAATATGTAAAATTGTCTAAATTTATCTATAAATTCAACACTATAATTTTTAATGGGAAAAATAGACAATTTAAACAAATTCAGACGTTTATCAAATTACAAAAACAAGCAGTATTATTGATTCAGATTTCAGACTTCAACACCACTTTTTATCAATCATAAGTGAAATAAAACTTCAATGCCTCTTAAAAAACAAACGTCACCTTAATAATTACTTGAGTGAATTACGGATTTCATCCATGTGGTTTAATAAAAATTATGACCACCATCACTAAACTAAAAAAATTATGGATTTGGTCCTCATAGTTGTAAATTTCTCATGACTACGGTCCCTGAAGCTAACAGCGTTTCTTTTTGCACCGTTGAATTCCTCACATGCTTAGCACACAAAGGGTATATAGGTCTTTTGATATGTCCCCTCTCATTTAAATCATTTCTTTTTACCCTTCTTCTTTCCATCTTCATCGATTATGAAGTTCTTCCGAACACGGGTCTGTTCATAACACAAGCTCAATTTGTAAATTAAACATAGATTCATACTTTTAAATTGAACACAAATTAGCTAACACAATCTCATTCAAAATTTGTAATACCAAATCCTAAATATAAATAAAAACAAGAATATTCTAAATCTAAACGAAGAAGAAATAAATGTATATCGAAATCAAAATCAAAATGAAACCTAAATCTATAACTATTCTTTAATTTGATTAAATCGACCAGAATAGATAGTTTTTATCCTCGAGATACACAAGTATAAGCACAACACATACCTCTTTGTTCTTTTTTTTTTCTTGTGTATGGTGATGTATATAAAGATCTCGAAACAGATCCATAGCGGTGAGTAGAGATAGATAATAAAGATGTCGAAACAGATCCACAACGGTGAGTAGAGATAGAGAGAAAGAGAGAGAGAGAGAGAGAGAGAGAGAGTAGCTTTAACCCATAGATCGAGTATAGATGAAACGTGCAGATTGAGTATTAGATGAGAGATGCAGGAATGGAGTTGGTTCAGTTATAGAAATGAGTTCGAGTAAAAGAGGGAAGGACTGGGTTCATCAGAGTGGAAAGAGGCAGTGATAGAGGTGGAGGTGGATTGGTGGTAGGGAGGGTAGATGGTCAATGGAGGAGGCAACAACTGGTTGGTGCCATAACAGTGGTGTAGGGCGACTGGTGTGGAGAGGGGGAGATAGGAGATCAACGATCAGGAAAAAGTGGTGAGCATGGGAGGTGTTCAAGATGGTTAATGGTTGAGAGAGTGGTGTTCAACAATGTAGAAAGTAGAACACGACCAGTGGGTGGTGGCCGACGGTGAAAAAGGAATGTCATGATGATGATGATATATTTGCTCCCAAATATGTATATATTACATGTATAAATTTTATAATCTTAATAAGAAAAAGACAACATTACAGGTATTTGGTATTTTTCATCCCTGAGTTAATTGGGATAATGGAGTTTTTTTTAACTCTATTAGTCAAAGGGAGTTTATCCATTAAAAATGACGACCACAGGGACCAAATCCATAAGTTTTTGAGTTTAAGGACGATAGTCATAATTTTTGATAAACCATAAGGATCAAATCCGTAATTCACTCTAATTACTTTTTTTATGATTCCTTAATTGCATCAAATACTAAAGACAATGCATCCTCCAAAATTGGATTTTGAAATGAACAAAGTATGTTGAGTTTTAATGCAACTGTCTTTATAACAACATAACTATATAACGTATTAATTTTTGCTATTTAAGTAATATTTTGTTTTGTTTTCTAGAATGAGCATGTTGTTATATATCGGTACTTAACATGATTACATCCACGAATGTTCTTAATATCTGCTACGAACTACCAAAAAGATGCATTAACGTATCTATATAATTAAGAAAATCTTCTGATATGTTAAAGTGAAGACTAAGGTTGCAAAATGTAACCACAAGGGTGGTGCCTGATTGGTTTGAGGTTGACTCCAAAGGTCAAAAGTACCAGGAGGTCTCAGGTTCAAATCCAATTAGGGAAAAAAATCCCCTTGTGGCCGTCGAGGTTCAAACGCAGTGACTCCGGGCTATCTGCAAAGCAGGTGGTCGCTCTGGGATTAGTCAGGCTCGCATAGCGGGTTAGATATCCAGGTTAATCAAAAACTAAAAAAAAATGTTAGGTTTGAATTTTAGAGTTAAATTGTATTTGTCTTGAAAGGTTTATAAGTGTATTTTTAGTAAGTTTGACTTTGTAAGTAATTGTTGACTTTGACTAGTGCTTTAATAGTTGGCCTATAAATAGGTTTTGTCTTGTAGTGAATTGTAGAGAAGGGAGCTCATTTGTAATACGATACTTTGAGAGGAATATATTCATAGTCGACTGT